TACGATCACGGCGCCTCACCCTTCAGCTGATGAGACAGCTTTTGCAGTGGTTTGTATCTCGCAGCCCTTCTCAAATGGGACAGTCTGGTCAGCCCAGGGATGGAAAGCTGAATCATCCATTGCCCCAAAAGGCCATATACGGCTTGTCTCAGTGAGCACCCAGTGATGAAGATCTGCAGGTGACAAACCATGGCCAAACAAGACTGCAGAAAATCCATGCCTTGAGCAAGTCGTGCACTTTACCATAGAACAGCCTAACCATTTAACAGCAGCAACAACAATTTTATTATTATTACAACAACATCTCTTATATACTAATCAACCTACCTTTAGTGTCATTGTACAAGTGCAGTAAGATTCAGTGTGCAGTTCATCCTGGGAGTCGAACCCAGGCTGCTTTGGTGAAAACCCTATTTCTAGTCCATGAGGAACGAAAATGAAGAAATCCACCTACAAGGAGTTTCTTCAGCTGGTCTGAAGTTCCAACTTTTATTGCACTGGCTATGAATTTACAAAAAAGCAGCTATTTTTTTATTTCTAAATATGATGTTTTAGAATATTGGCCTGTATGTATACTGATTTTTATGTGTATATAATTTGACAGTTCAACAGTTTTTACCCAGAATTTCAATGTGGTATGAACAGAAGTGCGACAAATTTACTCTTCCTACAGTCTTTGGTCCCTGTATTTATTTTTATATATGTTTTTTTTTCTTTTTTATTACAAGCAGATTTTTATCACGTTTTTTTATTACACTCAGATTTTTATTACGTTATGTAAGCTTGCCATTTGCCATTTCAACCTTGTTCCGAGGCAGTGTGATAGAGTTCATGGAGGTAGCGTGAGATGCAGTTGCTGTACCCATCTCTGCACCTGGATGCTTTGCCTTTCAGCGACCTGCTGATTCAGCTGCTGGCCCTGCCTCACAGGTAGCTATGACAGTCCACTGAGCCAGTATAGCCAAACCATTTCAAAGGTCAATAGAGTAATGCAGAATTAAGGAAATGCATGGAATATGCGTATTATATCATTCTAGTAAGCTAGAAATCAATTTTGACATATGAGTCAGGTTCATGTGGACACTGTGACACTCCAGTAGCATTAGTCTAGCTATTTTATGCTCTTTCTATTTTCTTGGAGTATGTACCAAGCTATATAATAAGTGATAAAAATTGTGTTAGAAATGATGTCTTTCAATAAAAGAGGAAAATATGTTAAGAACACACCCCAGGATCACATCTAATAGATACCTGCACTGTTTTTAATTATACAAGCTATAGAGATAGCTTTGTTTTCAGTATCATGTTGTATGCCCCCAACATTTCCTGCATACAACACAGAATTGAAGAGCTGATCTTGGTATCCTAGGCACTGTTAGATGTTACTCAGGCTATTAAGGGGATTAACAGAGTTTGCTGCCATAACCAGTAGGCTGACTCTATCTTTAACAAAGGACCAAAGAACTCCAAAAACGATCACATTTGCATGCTTGGTTTGCAAAGGTTTGTATTTGGTGATTTTAGATATCTCTTTCCATAATGTTCATGAAAACTACCAGCTCTTTTGCAACATTTTCTTGGTCTCTTCATTACAAAACTGTTACCTCTAACTCAAAAACCTGTGTAAATAAAAAAGGGGTGTCAAACTCAAATTCTGCACGGGCCACATCAGCATTTTTGGGAGACCCCGAAAGGCTGTAAGTCTATACATGTAAAGAAGAACTAACAGAAACTATTAAAGTGTGTGTACTATTAGATAAAAACATTTATTATACTGATTATAATAAAAGTTATTTTTTTAATAGTCCATGTGGCTTTGTGCCAAACATTATACTTGGCTTTTTCATAAAGTTTAATAATGCTCAGTAAACATTTGACTTGACTTTAGTCTCAGCAGACCACAAAATCTTTTTCAAAAGCTCTTAGATTTTCTAACATGGCCTTTCTCAGAAGTGGCCTCCTTCTTGCCCCTCTCCTATTTCAGCCAGTGAACTTGATTGCTGGAGGTGGACTATTGGAAACTTCTCTGACAATATATAGTTATAATGGATTTCACAGTTCTCTTAAGAAGGTTAAAAGTTTTGCCAACATTTTTATAGCCTTTTTTTTTCTACCTAACAACTTCATCTCAAAGCTTCACAGGCACTTCCTTGGTCTTTATGACAGCAGGACTGATCTGATCTACCATTTTAGCTGTGAGAGCTCACAAAGTTAGAGATACTTATTGTGCAAGCATAAAATTAGACACAGGTAAATTTAAAATGAACACAGGTGTACCCTGTTTAACATATTTAGTGTGAGCTCTCGAAAATGAAATACTAGTCCTAATTAAGGTTGTTAAAAGGAAGGGGGATGAATACTTATCAATAAAGCAGTTTTTAAAGTTTTTAAAAAATTATTCTTAGGGTACCTAAATGCTTCATTTAATTTGATGCAGCAGGAGAGGAGGTGGGGGGGCAGGGGCAATTAACATGGCTCACCAATTTATTATGGTTATTTGTGTGTGGGCTATATTAACAAGCTGTTTGTCTTTCCTTCTCTCTCATAGTGTGTGTGTGTGTGTGTATATATGTGTGTTTGTGTATGTGTGCACGCGCAACAAGTGAGCTGAAGGTGAGTCGCTGGAAAGCAGCCAACCATTCTTTTTTTCTTTTTCTGATTCCTATAAGATTGTTAGATAAGTCTGCTATGTTACTCTTCCTGACAGTGAACAATGCCACAGCATGTCTCATCTTTGGCAAAGTACAGAACAGGGCTGGGATTGTGTGCATGCTAATACCCAGGAAAGAAAGAAACATTTAAAAAAAAAAACAATTAAAATTGCACTGCAGTGTCACCTATGAAAACATAAATTATCATATGGAGGATAAATGTCCCTAAAGACTGTCCCGACTCAAACATCCTCCAGCATTAACTCATGTATGTAAATCTCAGATAAAGATTGAATTAAATTATAAATAGCAGATGGAGAGTAGTATCTAAGACAGAGGTATTTAAACTTTTTCCTCATGAGTCCCACTTCCCAGTTGTTTGAGAACTCAACCCAAAAAAAAAAAAAAAAAAAAAAAAACCCTTGTCAAATTGTTGTCTATTATTACCTGGAAAATAAAATTAAATAAAACCACAGTCACAACACAGCAGAACACTGGTGGTGGTAAACACAGTGGTAAGACACATAACGGTACATTTTGGATATAATCCTTTTACAAATCGCTTGTCTTATGTCCCCGTGAAACCATGAATGGTCTCTGACTGTCACAAGAGAACTGCGGTCACATCATCTGCACAAAAGCAGATAAAAAATTTTTATGGAAATATAAAATTATGTAATTGAACATATACTGTAGAACAGAATTATTCAACAATAGTGAAGTATAAAGGTCTGGCCATAAGTACCTGAAGTCCTCTTCATTAATCCTGTGGAGTTTATGTACTATGTACTATGAATTCATTTTAATTTACCATAATGTAATGGACTTTTCTGTGCACTAAGCATTGTATAGGCTCAGTCCTAACAGTTTCTGAGGGGCAATAATATTACTTTTAATTCTTTTAACCTCTGAATGTTTTTCTTAATAAAGCTTTCTGTGCAATAAGCATAAATATATGTTTTAACACTTTCTTATAATTAGACCAATTTTTTCCAGTAGGATGTTTAATGAAACTGAAAGACTGAACAGCATTTTCTATACGCAAACAGGCTACCGTAAAACGTAATGCACGCATGCACAAATATTCTGAAGAGCAGATGGAGTGACTGCAGTGCAGGAGAGCAAAGCAAACAAACCGCATTTTAAAATCATTGTGCAATTATAATTGCCATCAATGTTAATTGTAAAATGAATAGATTTTGCAGTTTCTTGTTGGTGTATTTAATTTTTTTTTGTGAAACAAAAACCTAAAGTGTGGTTTTTGACTATTTTTTGTCAAAATATTTCAGGCCAAAGTCAGAGTACAAGACGAAAGGGAAAAGTCCATGCCGTGACCCAGAGTCTAACTGGGGTCATTTCGCTATTCCACCCAAGACCTGCTGCTGGTTACAGGCCATGATCAAACTGAGAGTACAAGTGAGATGCATAAAATTCATGCCTTGACCAGGATTTGACCAGGGCTTGCTGCAGCCACAGGGCAGAGCATTAACCACTATGTGATCCCGACTCGACACGCCTTGGCTGTTGCGACAGCAGTTATGTTGCCAGAAATTCATATCCTGGATGAAGCATGGGATGCACCTGTACATGTTCAGCCTGGGGTAGTGAGATATGGCTTCATTTCGCTTTCCCACTGGCAACCTTCACAACCCTGCACAGCTTTGAGGGAACCAACAAACAACTTCCCCACTGGAGAAGGGCTGCGGGATATAAACAATGGCCAAAGTACAAGAGGAACACGAAAAGGCTGTGCCGTGACCCGGATTCGAACCAGGGTTGCTGCAGCCACAACACAGAGTACTAACCACTATACGATCACGGCTCCAAACACTGCTGCAGTTGTGAAAATTGTTATTATCCCAGAAAATCATCTCCTGCAGAAGGGCTGCGAGATATAAACCATGGCCAAAGTCCGAGTAAAAGAGTAGCGTGGAGAGTCCATGCCGTGACCCAGATATGAATGGGGGTTTGCTGCGGCCACCAAGCAAAGTAATGACCACTATGCAATGCACCCTGCAAGCGGGACTGAACACTGTGACTCTGGCAGAAAAGCAGTTGCTGGCTGAAAAACTAGACCTACAACTCTGTCTTGAGGAGAGGTGATGCTCATTTCAACGTGTTGCTCAGGACAAAAGCCACTTCCCATGCCGGGAGTCAAACCAGGAATCCTAACCGCTAGACCATATGGGATCTCTGCTCAAGTACCTGCATACTAAGGGCTGTGTCTATGGTCCAGAAACAGCCCGGTTCAGGAGAAGAGCACTTTTTGAGTTGGGCAGGCTGTAGTTTGATCTCTGGGTGGGTCAAACAGAGCCATTATCCATAATGCTGGGGAGGGTAAAGGAGAGCCAAGACAGCCAGGAGTTGAACCTAGAATCTTCTGATCTGTAGTCAGATACAGTAGCCATTGCACCACTGGCCCACGCCAATCCGTAGTATGGGGAAAATCCATGCCTTGACCTCGATTCAACCTAGGCTTGCTGCGGCCATAACGCAGAGTACTAACCACTATATGATCATGGCTCCATAGGTGAGAGAATTGTTATTAAGGCTGAAAAACATCTTGTGGATGATGCATGGGATGCACTGGTACAAGTTCACCCTGGGGTAGTGAGATATGCTTTCATGTCACTTTCCCACTGCACAGCTTCAAGGGAACCAACAAACAACTTCCCCACTGGAGAAGGGCTGTGGGATACAAACAATGGCCAAAGTACAAGAAGAACAGGGAAAGGCCATGACCAATGACTTCGCTTGAGAGTCTTAAAAACTCTGAGAACAAACAGCTTTGGCAACAAGCAAGAATTTTACCGTAAGAAATTTACACTGGCTGATTATTTGCTGTTACATTAGTCATCAATAGATCACAGTATATAAGCAATAAAGATGTCAAATGAAAGGAAACCTCATCCATGGTGAAAAACCCAAATCGATCAGCATCATAACTAGAAACAAAATGGCAAATATGGATATCCGAGGAGAAGCTCACAACTTTATATTTCAAATCTAATAAATGTGGCAAATAGGCCACAGTTTGATGTTGTTTTGCCTCGAAAATATTAAAAATATTTTAACAGAGATCATATATTAATGGTAAGTATTGCCTCTGGGATTCATCGATATATGAAGGATGTGACTGAATAATTTGGCCTGAAGGATTTGACATTAAACGATTTTAAATACGATCTGTACGTAAGTTCATTCTCTACAAACAAACAACTTTATTATTTTGTCCTGCGAGAGTATTCTTAGTCTGAAGTAAACAGTTTCGATCAAACTGAGAGTACAAGTGAGATGCATAAAATTCATGCCTTGACCAGGATGTAAATCTGTGTGTCATCTGCATAAAAATGATAATTAAGACTGAAAGATCTTAGGAGCTGACCAACAGAAAAAATATATGCTAAAAAGTAAGGGGCCCAAGATTGACCCCTGAGGGACACCACACCGAACTGAACCCATTTCTGACCTGCATCCACCTAGAGACACAAACTGCCTATGATCTGAGAGATAAGATCTAAACAAATTTAAAGCAGTCCCTGAGACACCAAAGATAGTTCCAAGACGGGTAAGCAAAAGAGTGTGTTCAACAGTGTCAAAAGCGGCACTGAGATCAAGTTTGATGTTGTTTTGCCTCGAAAATATTAAAAATATTTTAACAGAGATCATATATTAACGGTAAGTATTGCCTCTGGGATTCATTGATATATGAAGGATGTGACTGAATAATTTGGCCTGAAGGATTTGACATTAAACGATTTTAAACACGATCTGTACGTAAGATCATTCTCTACAAACAAACAACTTTATTATTTTGTCCTGCGAGAGTATTCTTAGTCTGACGTAAAGAAAACAGTGCAAGTGGACTGACCACTGTGACTCTGGCAGAAAAGCAGTTGCTGGCTGAAAAACGGGACCTAGAACTCAGTCTTGCATTGGTCACGAGGAAAGGTGATGCTCATTTCAAGCTTCGAGGGAACCAACAAACAACTTTCCCACTGGAGACCATGCACAGCTTTGAGCTTTGTAGAAGTCAACAAGCAACTTTCTCCACAACTTTGGATGGGGTAAATCTTCTGAGCCATAATAATAATAATAAAAAACTTTATTTTATATAGCACCTTTAAAAAGGCCTCTCAAGGCATTTTACATAAGAATATATAAAAATATATAACAATAACAATAATAGTAATAACAATAATTTAATAACAAAATAAAACAAAACAACACAAAGTAATCAAATAAAAGCAATCCTAAAAAAATAAGTTTTAAGAGAAGATTTAAATATACTAAGAAACTGGGCTTCTCTAAGATCAGATGGAACGGAGTTCCACAGTTTTGGAGCGTAAGAAGAGAAGGCCCTATCACCCATAGTACGCGAACGAGTCTGAGGGACAGTTAAAAGACCAGGGTTGGAGGAGCGGAGATCACGGTTTGGGGTGTAATGGGTTAAAAGCTCTGTCAAATACTGGGGAGCCAAACCATGCAATGCCTTGTAAGTAGGCATAAGAACTTTAAAATCTACACGAAACCTGACAGGGACCCAGTGCAAGGATTCCAAACCAGGAGTGATGTGCTCACTTGTCCTGGACCTAGTCAGGATTCTAGCTGCAGAATTTTGTACATACTGCAGTTTATTTATCGTAGACTTAGAGACCCCAGCCAGGAGTGCATTGCAGTAATCAATGCGAGAGAAGACAAAAGTATTGATCGACTTTTCAGCCACAGAAAAAGATAACATAGGCCGCAATCTTGCAATATTTCTGAGATGAAAGAAGGATGTTTTAACAGTATTCTGCACATGTGGGTCAAAAGAAAAACTCGCATCAAATATAACTCCTAGGTTTTTTAATTTTGTTTGAAACTCTAAAGCAGAGCCATCCATGGTTAAATTTAAAGAGCCAGCATTACGAAGCTGGTGAGGAGAACCAATGAGCATCACTTCAGTCTTATTACTGTTAAGACAGAGAAAGTTTTGAGCCATCCAAATTTTTATCTCAGAAATACAATGTGAAAGAAGAGTGGCTGCCACGTTATCACCAGGTTTAGTATGGATGTAAATCTGTGTCATCTGCATAAAAATGATAATTAAGACTGAAAGATCTTAGGAGCTGACCAACAGGAAAAATATATGCTAAAAAGTAAAGGGCCCAAGATTGACCCCTGAGGGACACCACACCGAACTGAACCCATTTCTGACCTGCATCCACCCAGAGACACAAACTGCCTATGATCTGAGAGATAAGATCTAAACAAATTTAAAGCAGTCCCTGAGACACCAAAGATAGTTCCAAGACGGGTAAGTAAAATAGTGTGTTCAACAGTGTCAAAAGCGGCACTGAGATCAAGAAGGACGAGAATAGAAAGAGAACCAGAATCAGAAGCTATTAACAAGTCATTAGTGACCTTAACTAAAGCTGTTTCTGTACTGTGGAGTTTACGGAAGCCGGATTGAAGGGGCTCAAAAAGATTGTTAGCAATGAGGTGACTGTGTAATTGAGAAGCAACAGTGCGTTCTAGGATGAAAGTTGTTAAAGTTATCCAAATCAAAGCTAGTCTTTTTGGGTACTGGAGTTACAGCAGCAATTTTAAATGCTGCTGGCACAACACCAGTGCACAGGGAGTCATTTATTATACTCAAGACTATAGGGCACAAGGAGGCAAAACTTGATTTAAATAAACTAGTTGGTATAGGATCAATAATGCACATGGTAGCCTTCATACGTGATACCTCTTTACCTAGAGTAACATGATCAAGTGGAGAGAAATTTGAAAGAGTGCCAGAAAAGCAGGTGAGACTGAAAGAAGAAGCAGGGGAGACGGAATGAGTAGTAAGGATGGATTTACGAACATTGTCAATCTTGGTACTAAAAAATGTCAAGAAATTTGTTACAAAGCTCAGTTGAAAAACGTTTTGAGTAGAACGCAAAAAGGAAATGGTCCTTGATTTCAAAGGAGCAAAGGAATCCAAGCCGGAACCAGAAGTTAATCCATCTACAGCTTGCGTCAGGGAGATCCTACCACATCAGGCTTTCCCACTGCAGAAGAGCTGCGAGATATAAACCATGGCCAAAGTCCGAGTAAAAGAGGAGAGTGGAGAGTCCATGCCGTGACCCAGATACAAACAGGGGGTTGCTGCGGCCACCAAGGAAAGTAATGACCACTATACGATGCACCCTGCAAGCAGGACTGAACGCTGTGTCTGGCAGGAAAGCAGTTGCTGGCTGAAAAATGGGACCTTAGAAAGGTGATGCTCATTTCAACACGTTGCTTAGGGTAAAGGCCACTTCCCATACCGGGAGTCGAACCCGGGCCGCCTGGGTGAAAACCAGGAATCCTAACCGCTAGACCATATGGGACCTCCATGCCACATCCTGCATACTAAGAGCTCCATCTGTGGGCCAGAAGCAGCCCAGGTAAGGAGAAGAGCACTTTTTGAGTTGGTCAGGCTGTAGTCTGATCTCTGTGTGGGTCAAACAGCGCCATTATCCATAACGTGCGGGAGGATAGCCGAGCCAGGATAGCCGAGCCAGCCAGGAGCCGAACCTATTGCGAACCTAGTGGGAATTAGGAATTTTAACATGTAATTAAAAAAAAAAACACTGACTGATTATTTGCTGTGACATTAGTCACCATTAGGTCACAGTATATAAGCAATAAAGATGTCAAATGAAAGGAAACCTCATCCATGGTGAAAAACCCAAATAGATCAGCATCATAACTAGAAACAAAATGGCAAATATGGATATCCGAGGAGAAGCTCAAAACTTTATATTAGAAATATAGTAAATGTGGTAAATAGGCCACAGTTTGATGTTGTTTTGCGTCGAAAATATTAAAAATATTTTAACAGAGATCATATATTAATGGTAAGTATTGCCTCTGGGATTCATCGATATATGAAAGATGTGACTGAATAATTTGGCCTGAAGGATCTGACATTAAACGATTTAAAACACGATCTGTACGTAAGCTCATTCTCTACAAACGAACGACTTTATTATTTTTGTCCTGAGAGAGTATCCATAGTCTGACATAAAGAAAACAGTGCACGCGCAAAACAGTGTAAGCGGACTGAACGCTGTGACTCTGGCAGAAAAGCAGTTGCTGGCTGAAAGACAGGACCTAGAACTCAGTCTCGCATTGGTCACGAGGAAAGGTGATGCTCATTTCGAAGTGTTGCTCAGGATAAAAGCCACTTCCCATACCGGGAGTCGAACCCGGGCCGCCTGGGTGAAAACCAGGAATCCTAACCGCTAGACCATATGGGACCTCTACATGGACACCTGCACACTAAGGGCTGCTTCTATGGGCCAGACACAGAACACATTCTGAGTTGGGCAGGCTGTAGTTTGATCTCTGGATGGGTCAAACAGTGCTGTTATCCATAACATTGGAGGGGATAAAGGAGAGCCAAGCCAG